ATCCAGAGGCACCTGTCCTCTGTTGGGCTCCATGAGAAATTGCTCCAAGGCGCAGTCGTTTAGCATGTTTAGACACCCGGTCTCTCTTTCTTGACCCGAGCACACATTGGCCCATTCGATGTGTGGAGAATTGAAGTTCGTCAGGATTACAATCCTGTCCCTTTTGGACACCTCCCTGATTTCTCTCTGCATTTCAAAATTTCTCCCTCAAGTTTCCCCCCGCATTTCCCCCTCAGGTTTTTCATCTGGAGGATGATAGCACCCCCTCCTTACTATCACATTGCTCCTTCGGGCTGGCAGTTTGACCCACAGTGATGGAGTCATACTTGCCATCCACCTCCCTTCTGCTGGATTCGATCCCTTCTTTGACCTAGATGGCCACCCCACCTCCCACACGGCCCTCCCTGGCCCTCCTGTAGAGTTTATCGTCTGGGATTGCGGTATCCTGCTGGTTCTCTGAATGGCCACCAAATTTTCCGGCTCTCTCATCTCTGCTCAGACCCTTTGGGCATTTGCATAAAAGCACCTGCGTATGGGGGTTCCCCCCAAGAAGGGCTGCTTGTTTGCTTCTCCTTCCAGCGCACCAACTATCCCATCCCATCACGCTCCCAGTCCTAATTCCTGCACTGCCATCACTTTGTAGTTCTCTACCCTTTCCACCTTCTTTCCACAGGGATGAGGAGTCCCGAAATGGCCGCCACTCGGCTCCTGTCAGTTTTCCCCCGGGATTCAGTTTAAACGCTGCTCTGCCACTTTTTTAAAGGTTACACACCAGTGGTCTGGTTCCGTCTTCATTCAAATGAAGCCTGTCCCTCTTGTGCAAGCCTGGGTGTGAAATGAATCTGAACCGCTCCCCTTGACACCACCGTCTCATTTACGCATTGAGGCCCCTGAGCTCCGCCTGCCTAGGTGGCCCTGTGCGTGGAACAGGGAGCACTTCCGAGAATGCTACCTTTAAGGTACAGAGGTATCTCAGTTTACGTAATTTCTGGTTTAGAAACAGAAATTAGTTCGAAGTAATGCCTTGGTTAATGTTTCTTTTTTCCCATTTCTTTTGCTTTGTGAAGGAAGTTTCTCTACGCCTGGAGGCTTTAGTGCCGCCACTGTCGCTATGGCAATCTGCATTTCAGTTTATGTATTTTTCGCATGAAGATAGTGTTCTGTACCCGAGGTCCCCAAACTTTTAACCCCACGGACTGATTGGGGAAGGTGGGGCACTCCTGTGCATGTGCGCCCACACACAGGCATGGGCGCGAATGAACATGAGGGTGTTCTTGCAGGGCACACACGCTCATGCGTATGTGGAAAGGGGTGGGGGAGTGCATGCCTGGCCGCTGGCACATACATGAACACATGCACAAAGGACCTGTGCATGGGGAGTGCAGGAGGAGCATCTCTGCAGCCCGGTCCCCCTTAGGCCACAGACTGGCACCGGGCCATGGACCGGGGGTTCGGGATTCTGTCCTGGAGGACACATTGATTTTGTAAACTGAGTTCCTACTGTAATATGTTATATTTAATTTTGCTATGGTTAAATACCTTCTCAATATCAATGTTTACATTTTTGCTTTTATTCTCATAGATATGGTTTATCAAATTCTCCCCCCCCCCTTTCCATACACATTGGTTTAGGTATCTAACTCTGGAGCCAGAGGTTGGGAGCTCACTTCAGTTCTCAGATTCTATTACCTCAGTATTTGTTTGTTTGTTTGTTTGTTTGTTTCATATGCTGCCCATCTAGACTTTGTCTACTCTGGGCAGTTCAGAACAGAGAAAATATAAACAATATATAATAACAATTTATCAACAATATACAATGATAATAACTCAAGATGGGATGAAAGAATAAAGTAGTTCCTGGAGGGAAGGCCTCTCTTAATAACCAGGTCTTCAGTTGGTTTTTAAAGATGCCCAGCGAGGGGGGCAAAGGGATCTCGGAGGGGAGTTCGTTCCAAAGAGAAGGGGCCACTGCCAAGAAGACCCAGTGTCTTGTTTTTTCTTTCTGGACCTCCCTCGGTGTTAGGCCCCTCGATCACCCCTCCTGACTAGATTGAGTGGTGCGGGTAGATCTAGGTGGGAGGAGGCGGTCCGCAAAGTATCGAGGTCCTAAACCGTTTAGGGTTTTCTGTGTAATCATTAGAACATTGAAGTCAACACGGAAGCGAACGGGCAACCAATGTAAGGCAGCCAGAGTGGGAGTAACATGTTGGTATTTCCTCACTCCACTGAGAATTCTGGCCACCGCATTCTGCACCACTTGTAGCTTTTTATTTAGATTTATACCCCGCCCCTCTACACAAAGTCTACTCGCATCAATTTCAAAGGTACATCAACGTAGAGCCCATTGCAGTGCTCTGATCTTGAGATTACGAGCATGTGGACCAAAGTGCTGAGCACACCAACATCAAGATAGGGCAAGATAGCTGGGCAATCCACCAGAGATGGAAATACGCGGTGTCACGATCCAGCTTCCTGTTAAGGTGAACTTGGTCAGTGGACAGAGAGTAACTGGGAGCCTGAGGGTAGAATCCTGGTGACCTCAGCCAGGGCGAGACGTTACACATAAGCTTCGTAGTCCTAAAATCTACTAAGCTCAATTAGGTAGGACTCAGTAGCTTATTCTGGCCTTGCCTCTCCCTCTGGGAATGGCTGCAACAAGCTTCACTGTTCAAGTGACCAAAAGATTTTATAATTGATCTTTTTATTGAAAAAGTATAGATTTACAGAATAAAGTCAGTTTGATGCAAAAGCATAGCAATAAAGCATTTCCAAGGATTGTTACAATTACAATTAAGGCAACTAATTCCCTTTAGATTAAAAAAGCTCTACTCTAAAAATCTCTAAAAGCTTCCTTAAAGGTAAAGGTTAAGTTTCCCTTGACATTTAATCCAGTCATGTCTGACTCTGGGGGGCAGTGCTCATCCCCGTTTTCAAGCCATAGAGCCAGTGTTTTGTCCAAAGACAGTTTCTGTGACCAGGTGGCCAGCAGGAATAGACACGGAATGCTGTTACCTTCCCACGGAGGTGGTCCCTATTAATCTACTTGCATTTGCGTGCTTTCGAACCACTAGGTTGGCGGGAGCTGGGACAAGCGACGGGCGCTCACTCCGTCGCATGGATTCGATCTTACAACTGCTTGGTCTTCTGACCCTGCAGCACAGGCTTCTGCAGTTTAGCCCGAACCACCAACACGTCCGTTCCTTAGGGTAGGTAAAAGGCATAAAGTCCCCCTTCCTGTTCTTTCTTCAACTCTCTACATCTCCCCAAGTCTTTTCCCTGACACAGGGCAGCAGGAAAAAAAGACCTAGAAAAATCTCTGGTTCTGTAAAGGAAAAAATAGGAATGGAACACTGCACATGGCAACAGTTCATTTCTCTATCTTCTAGGCTCGCCCTGTCTTCTTCGTCTCTCACACTGTTATCCAATCACGGTGTAAGGTGGTAGAAGTAGTCCCCTCCTTCTCTTCTTGTGAGGTACAGGTGTTGTTTTTCTCCGTCTATTCTCCACCATAACAAGTGTCTGGTCTTATCTTGTATTGGCTTCTACTGGCTTAAAAGAAAAACATTCCCACAGCCCTCTAGAATAACATTCCCATCATACAAAATAGTTCTTACACAAAACCAATATGGATCCATCTTACATTTCTTAACAACTATATAAACCATCTTCAATTCAGCTTTTAGCCTTAATATTCACAACCATGACACATGGAACGGACCACTGACACCACCTGAGTTTCCATGGTGAGTACTGGGTCCAGATGTATCCCCAATCTGTGAACCTCACTCTTTGCAGTGAGAGTCAGTCCCCCTCAAAAGAGAGGGAGTCTCCCAAACCGTTGATGGAGGATGCACCCACCCTCAGGACCTCCTTCTTGTCCAGGTTCAGCCTCAGCCCATTTTCCTGCATCCATTGCTGTACAGACTCCAAACAGTGGTTGAAGAAAAGGAGATGTAGAGTTGGTTGTCATCAGCATACTGATGGCACGATGGCCCACACCCCCTGATGACCCCGCCCAGCGGCCTCATATAGATATTAAACAGCATTGAGGAGAGGCTCGAGCCCTGCGGAACTCCACAATTGAGGCTCCAAGGGGCCGGGTCCCCCTCCTCAAGCTGAACTCTCTGAGGATGGTCCTCCAAGAAAGAATAGAGCCAGGCAAATGCCAGGCCACCAATTCCCAACTCAGAGAGCCTCCTCAGGAGGCTACCGTGGTCGACAGTTCAAAGGTGGCCAAGATATCGAGGAGGACCAGCAGAGATGTTTTACCCCGTCAGCCTCCCTCAACAGGTCATCTGACAGTGTGACCAGCGCCGTTTCAGTACCATGGCGTGGCCTGAAACCTGACAGGAACAGATCCAGGGCATTTGTTTCATCCAAATGCACCTGAAGCTGATCAGCCATCACCCTCTCGACTACTTTGCTAATGAAAGAAACATTGGCGACGGGCCTATAGTTGCCAATATTGTCCACCGACAAATATGGTTTCTTTCTAATGGTTCTAATGAGTGTCTCCTTGAGGGTGGGGGGGACCCTGCCCTCAAGAAGAGACCCAATTGCCCTCAAGAAGAGACCCATAAAATATTGCTATGGCCCATTCTGTCGTTATAGGACTGACTGCTTTGATTAGCCAGGCCGGGCAAGGGTCAAGGGTCAAGAGATGAGGTGGTGGCCCGACAGAGATCTAGTGCTTTGTCCACAGTATCTGGCATCAAACACTGAAAGAGATCGAAACTCACCAGGCAAAGCGGAGCGCTGGACATCTCTGCTCGATCCACTGTACCTTTCCCCTCTGTTATTCATTTTTGCTATATAATCCTTTAATGAAAAGATTTGTTCCCTTTTTAATAAACTTTGAGAAATTCCTTTCTAATTTTCTGGAAATGTAAGTATAATCATTGGGGAGAATTTGAGAAGGAAAAAAGTTAGTATACTTTGAATTTGATGTATTTATTTGGGTGTGGAAATGATCCTCCTTTCATTACTCCTCCCTCCAAAAGGTTCCTCATTGAAAAGCCCTTCCAACTTCAAGCTCAAAAGAACAACCTACAGTCCAGCCGATTTTCTTCCCTCACCTTTTTGGCTATCTTTCCTTCCTCCTCTGGGAGTCAGACAGAGTCCGAACACTTCATTCCTTTTTCCTGCAGATTTTGGAAGTGGCTGTTTATCTTTTTCCAATCTAGCAAATGATGAACAGGAGAAGAATTGCCCAGCAACATCTGGGGCTTCCTGGGCAGGAACTCATAATCAAGCAAGAAAACAGAGAATTGGAAATTG